CGGGGGGGAGTGAGCGAGCGGCTGTGTGGTGCTTAGTTGCCGGCTGGGGTTAAACCATGGCAACCTAATGTAACACTTTTTATTTTATGTTAAATGATCTGTGAGGAATTCTGTCTTCTGTTCTTGTAGTCATGTCCTCTTTAGGTTCATTTTAATCTGGTTTGCTGTGCTGCATAATTTTTTTAAGCTTTTTGTCTTTAAGAAGAAAGCCAAGATTTTGTCTTTTGTTACCTATCTCTTGAAACCTTCTGCAGAGATGGTAGTTTTTCTTCGTTTCTCTGCTAGATAATAGATAACTGAAAACCAGGCTTTGTCTAGCTGAGATGGGACCCATAACATTTATATTTGATTGGTTTGTGTCTGTCTTTCCTGATGTAATTTAGACTGTGTTGGTATTTTCTTCTTTGAGCTGACCAGTAGGATTCATTTTCAGTGAATTAGAAAAAAAATTACTTTTGTATTTTCACATTCATGTGTGATATCTGTAGTTTTACCTGCTGCTTCCTCCTAGCAATCGAGTTTTCTGGAAGAAATGTTCTCCCTCTGTGCTGGTACATCATGGAGATGAGGTGATTAGGTATATGTTGAGAATGGAGGGGTTTCCATACAAAAGAACAGAGACGTATATTTCAATTCCCAGTAAAGAGCAATAAGAAGACATAGTGTTTAAATGCAGTTCATGAAATTAAGTATTCAATTTAAAAGAGTGATCAGATGCTTCATATAGGTCGGATGTGGAAATATTTCAGTTCAGTGTTTCTACAATGACACTTCCTCATTTCAATGTTTTATGTTCTCATCCTTTTGAAATAAAAGCAAGAGCAGAGATTAAAGCTCTTTAGTAATCATTTCCTAGATGAGAATCTCCTTGTACATCAATTAATTTTGTAGGGTTTTTTTCTTTTTATAGGCTAATTGGTTGACATTAGCTGTAAATCTGCTTATTTTGAGTTCACAGAAAAATATGTGAAAACATAGCTGGTCTTTTAGGTATTTAGATGATAAAGTAGTAACACTTTGTCAAGGTCAGATCACCTCAGATATGTCTGATTTATTTCTGTAGTAATGGAGAAGCAGCAAGTGGTGGTTTTAGCTTGAGATAGACTGTCAATGTCATTCTAGATCAAGGATAATAAAAGCAT